GTAGGCAACTTGTTCAGCACTTATTGTACTGATATGAGCAAGAAACAGTCCTTTCTCTTTTTCTGTTATTTGTTTATATAATATTTTTATTAAAAAAAAAATTTTTTTATGTATGCTTGGTTCTTTTAATGTCAAAGAAGCAAAAAATAAAAAAATTTGCCCCAAAATTCATTAGAATGGGGTACGCACAGCCTTTTTATTTGCTCACGTGTAATGATCTGCAAATTGGGCATTACTTTTGTTGGCTACAATACCTATTATAAATCTAAAACCTGTCATGTGCTAAAAATACTTACCTTAAAGTTAGGATATGTGCAAGTTATATGAATTGGTACCAGGCATACCGAATATTTAATTGTTAAAACAATTAATTGCAATTGTTTGATCTCAATCAATTAATTGGTGACGCAGCTACAATTAATCAATTAATTACAATTTTTGTCAGAGTTTGCAAAATGAATAATAAAAACATATATGAAGTATATTTACTGATCTTGATGTCAAAAATCTGTAATTTAAAAGAATAACCTTATATGTAATTGAATAAATAAATCAAAATTAACAAGTGATCTTTTTTTTAACAATTGCATTTTAATGAGTGCAAAATTTTCAAATAAGTGTTATATAGACACTTTCTTTAAACTTACAGACGATAGCAAGCACTACTGTAATTTGTGCACTCCTGGTTCACAATTGATAGCTCAAAAAAAAGAATCAGGTTATACAAATTTAATAAACTATTTAATAGCAAGATATGAACATTTCAAGTTATTTTACTAGCAATAAATCGAAAATGATACCTTTACAGTAAACTCTACATTTATCTATAGCACAAGTGTGCTCAATATTTTTAATTGGGTTAACCTCATCATAAAATGCCAATTACTTCTTAATGTATATAAGAATCCTGACTTTGTTATACATATTAGCCTTTTAAAGTTGGATGTTTCGACAGTTGGCAAGTATATTAGTGGCTTGGCAGATGTTGTAAGAAAAAAAGTAAAAAACATCTTATCAGAAAAAATTAGAATCATGTTTGATAGATGAATGAGTAATGATATTCACTTTGTTGAAATGTTTGGGATATATCAAACCATTCATAAACCTATGAATTTAGTATTGCTGGCATTTTCACCATTTGAGAATCATATTACTTAAAGTGCTAATACACATATTAGGTTTTTTGAGGACATTCTAGAACAATATAACAAGACTGTTAAAAATGTTCTTTTTCTTTCAGATAACAATTGCAGTACCAACCAAAAAATTGCTAGTGATTTGGATCTTTCTCTCATCAGATGTGCATCACATTGTCTAAATCTAGCTGTTAATGATCTTATTTATTTTTCATCTATTCTTATGAATCAGATTCGTAAAATTGTGCATATGATGCAAACTTATAAAAATTGTAATAAACTTGCAAAAGTAACGTCTTTAATACCTATCTTAGACAATGCAACCCATTGGATGAGTGTTATGAAAATGATAGAACGATGTAAAGAACTCATTTCCTATGTTACTCAGGCCAATGAATTTTTAAGTTAAGTTTTTTTTTTTTTTGTCTTTTTTTTTTTTTATATTTATTTTTATTTTTTTTTTTTATATATATTTTCTTATTCACAGAGATGCCAGTTGACATATTTTAATAATATTATATATTATTATTACATATAGGTCATGATATTTTATTAGTAGAACAATTGGATTTCAATAAAATTGATAATTTAATTAAATGGTTTAAATATTTTTCAGAAGCAACCAATGATTTATAAAGCAAATTTATTAACTTAGATGATGTTCATGCATATTTTGATTTGCTAATAGAAGAATATCCAGAGTTGGAAAGTAGGTTAGGAAAGAATGCGCAAATCATTCATGATCCTGTTTTTGAGGAGGCTGTAATCAAAATCTTGTGCAAGCATGAAGCTGTACTAACATCTAATGAAAAGCAAAAACTTCAAGCATTTATTGTAAAATGACCAATAGTAGATAAAGGTCCCATGACCATGAAAGAAAGAGTTGTAAAAAAATGCAATTAGAGAAATCAACGTATATGGATATGAACATTATTCCTTCTACATCTAATACAGTAGAATAGTTGTTTTTACTGATTAAATATTATTATATGGATTGGAGAAAATCTCTTGATCTGCATACCTTGGAAAATCTTCTATTGCTAAGAATAAATGATAAAATATGGTCAATTCATGATGTCCATCAAATGAAACTATAAAGTATTATTGTTATATATATGTATATACATATATTAGTATATATAATTACATTTAATGGCAATGTTACTCTATTCAATATTTGAATGCAAACAAATTTTTTTTTTTTTCAAAATTTGATATTTTATAGTCTAAAACTTATATAGTAGCAAAATTGCAATTAATTGCAATTAATTTAAATTTAATTGTTGCTTATAACAATTTTGCTTGATCGTAATTGCATAAAAATTTAATTGCAATTAATTTTTCGGTACCCCTGATTGGTACGTGTCCGTAGATCGTCCCTAAAAATCCTACTGTCACGTGACGATCGACAGCAAATTAACCAATAATGAGCCATGATTTAATAACAAAAAAGTTCCTTGGGCAGTTTTACTATAAAGCGCACTAGTGCCGCCTTATTAGAACTAACCCTAACCTTAACGTTAAAGAATTTTTCGAACATCACGTGATAGTAGAAGGTTGCTTATATAATAGGGATGGTAAAAAAAAAACATTTTTCACTGTTTTTAAAACATGCGATGATTATGGTCCAAATACTTTTAAATTTAGACTATGCAACCATAATCACATGTTTTAAAACGGTGAAAAATGTTTTTTATAGCTTTAAACGACCTCTATTTATAATGCAACAGTGACAATTATTAATCGATAATGACCAGATAACCAACATGCAATATAACGAAAAAAATTTAGGTTATAAGTTCGAATAAAAATTCCATTTTTCATATATTCGATATTCTACTTCATATCAGATATATTCGATATTTATTTAATTTATTCGATAAACATTAATCGTTTCTAAATTATTTCTATAAACCACAATAATTAAAAATAAATAAAAGTTAACTTATAATACAGTATAATGATAAATATAAAAAATTATTTTGTTCTCTGCATAAATACTATTCGGTCTTGGTTTTGCTTTTCTAAACTTTATAAAGTATTAGATCTAAGTTAACTGTTTGTTTTTTAGGTTTAACGTCAAAATACTTTCATTAGCTTAAAATATAAACGCAATTACCTTCGATTTCTTATAAAACTAAGAAAAACTTTTAAATATCGTGATTATTTTTGATTAATTTTAAAGGAATATAGTTATTTGAAAGCTTTTTCTGCTTTTTAATAGATTCGATGGAAATAAAAGTACTTTAAACTGTATAAAAAAAACCAAGAAAAATTTTTTTATTAAATTGGCTAGATCATCAATGAATATCGGTTTGTTCACCATGCCCCAAATGCTAACCCTCCAAAAAAACTATTGCTAAAAAATCTACGTACGTATATATATGGCTACGATCATTATTAAATTAGGTTAAATCTTATGATTATCGAAATTTTGTCAAAGGAGTGTATGTATGTATGTATGAAGCTGTAAACTTAGGCTTACTGTCACTTTTTTTTTTTCTCTGTAAAATGGCATCTCTTTTCAGCAGATTCGGCTTATTGTTGTTATTTAATATTTTCCTATTCTTCCTAACAGTTGTAACAGCAGCAAAAGGACCAGTTATCACTAATAAAGGTAACGCAAATATCTAATATTTAACCAAATTATATTCAAGATGCTCACCTTATAAAATTTTATCACAAAATCCAGTGTATTTTGATATTAAGCATGGTGATAAGGAATTAGGTCGTATAGTTATAGGGTTATATGGCAAAGTATGTAATGAATTATTAAAATTTATCGATATTTTATGTTAAATTTAGTCAATTACGCAATTTTAGACTGTACCAAAAACGGCCGAAAACTTTCGTGCACTAGCTACTGGTGAAAAAGGCTTTGGATACAAGGGATCAAAATTTCATCGTGTGATTAAAGTAAGTATTAGAATAATATAATTTCAAATGTTTGGTATTGGAATTTCTACATTTCTGTATTACCGATAGGATTTCATGATCCAAGGTGGTGATTTTACTAAAGGTGATGGAACTGGTGGAAAGTCTATTTACGGGGAACGATTTCCCGATGAAAATTTCAAACTTCGTCACACGGGTGTTGGTGTTGTGAGTATGGCTAATGCCGGTGCTGATACGAATGGTTCTCAGGTACGCAACTTTACAATTATTCTTAATATAACTTACATTAATCATTGTTGACCAATTTGCTAATATCACGTGATATATGTAGTTTTTTATTTGCACTGCAACAACTTCTTGGCTTGACGGTCGTCATGTGGTTTTTGGTTATGTATTAGAAGGACTGGATGTCGTACGTCAGATTGAAAATGTTGAAAAAGGAAGCGGTGATCGACCGAATGAAGATGTAGTTATCGTTGATTGTGGCGAAATTGACATTCAGGAACATGAAAAACCTGTTAGAGTTGAACTATAATATTGAAATCCTGAGTACACCTATATTGAGTGAACATTATCAACGAACGAACGAATGTTTATGAAATTTGTTACATTATGGGCGCTTTTCAGCTGACTATTCCTCAAAGTGGTTAATCTTTATATAGTTCGCTGTTTATTTTAGGTAATATGTGGCGGTTCTATTGGAGTGTACAAAACGGGAAGTTTATTTAATTAATAATTATATTCTTTACTGTCCGGTAGAATTTAGATTCTTTTATTATTATAATAATAAAGTGATTTCCATTATTTTTACATGAAAAATTTTTAAATGTACAAAACTGATTCTATTTATTAATCTGTGACTCCAATATACAAATCTTCAACGTGACAATTAAAAACATCACTTGATATTAATCATGAAATTATTATTATATTATAATTATTGACTATAATATTAATCTGAAGGGAATATTAGAATCCTGACCCTAGCCAACTGCTAACCAAATTTTTGAGACGATCCCCTTGACGTAGCGGCGTCATTAGAACAGATTCAACACGTTCTACAGTCGGCTTGACTTTCTCTGATACTGATTTTTCCGTTAAATTCGGTTTGGCCTTAATAGCTCGAGCTGAACGTTGTTCTTCATCTAATTTTCTCCATAAATTTAATAAATCAGCAATTTGATCACTTGGACACAATGATAAGGCGTATCCCATAAGTGTCATTTGTTGTTCAAAGTCTTGATAATTTTCCTGTTTGGCAACCTCATAACATATTCTCCAAGCTATATCATTAGCTAAAGCTAATTTCGTATTTTCATTATCACTTTCATTACCACTCACAATAACTTTGATAACATTTACTAAATCGACACACATGTTGTATGCAGTAGCAAAATTATTATCACGTAATGCAGCATCTGCGAGCATGGCCATTACTTTGACTTCAGCAACTTTGTCATTTCGATAACCAAGTTTTTTTGCAAGTTTTATAATTGACTTTGGGTCATTGTAAGCATCTTCATATGTACTCAATAGACGATCTATAAAGTCTAACCGATTTGGTGAAATGCGTATGTGTAATGGATGTATTGGTACTCCAGGTTGGTAACAAATTTTCTTCTCTGACAAAACATGTGTTGCCTCAATCAATTCAAGCTCTGCTGTTATAGTATCTGATGTCGGTAATATTTGAAGACTAAATAGAATTATTTATTATTAATTTCGAATATAATATTGTAAATATACATATATAGCAATAAATGGGTCTTTTCCTTTAAAATGACCCTACGGGACTATGTAGATTTTATGAATAAAAATTAAAATTTCTAGCCATCCAGTAATTCAATTCAAATATTTTTTTTTCATTTTGTAGAACTCACTAAGCCTTACAAAGGAAAAAAAAAACCCACCATTTATTTAAACTGGATAGTTGAAAATTTAATTTTTATTCATAAAATCTCCATAGTCCCGTAAGGTCATTTTCAAGGCAAAGATCCAAATGAGATATGGCCGTTTTTTTCATTTGCAAAATTAGATTAAATATTGTCATATCTTTTTTATAAAGAAAAAAGTACCATTCGTATGCCATCTTCATGTAACCATGATTCATATTTCCTGAGGTAGCATTATCAAAAAATTCTCTGGATGCATTGATAACTAGTTTTTCTGCTTTATCCACTTTTAAAGGATGCGGTTCATCATCTGGTAAAAGGATTTCACGCGCCAATCTGAATCCTATAAGTTAAAAGGTTATGGATAAATATTAAAAAAAAATTTTTTTGGCTTTTTTCACAAAAGTTAGTAATGTAATTCGAAATAAAATTATTTGCAATATTATATCAAAGGATACTTCCACAACTCAAAAGTCCAGATATAAAATTTTCATAAATTCCTTCAATAGATATTTCCCCTAAGACACCTCTACCATCTCCTTGTAATATCTTCATGTCTTCTAACAATTGGATCCATTCATTTTCATTTTCAAAGTGCTCCCCATCAACTTCGGAATCATTTGTTCTTCGTGATAATTGAATACATAATTGTTTTTGCATAGTATAATTTTTTGCACTTTGAAGGAACCACCGTAAAGGTATTGTGTTATTATAACGTGAAAGAATCTTTGCAGCGTTTAAATGAATTTCGAGGGAATGAATAATTTTTTGAAGTTGTTTTTCGTTTTTTGTCTTAAATATAGGTAGAAAATCATGAGGAGTATACGTTTGTAATGAACTGATATCTATACCAGAGTCTGAATGGGTAGCATTGGTTTCTGAAGAGTCTGAGTCAATTGTTGGAAGGCATTCAAAAATGCGTGTTTGAATATTTAGGTCATTGGTGCTTGTGTTTCCGTATAGACAAGAAAGTGCTACCTTGGCTAAATCTTCTTCAGACGTTATAACGCGCTCCTCAGATATTGTTGGTTTGGAAGCTTCAAAAAGAAGACAGCACCAATCCAAATGAGAAGACGAAAGATCCAATATATATTTGTATAATAAATCCATTGGGTGTAAATATTTATCAATTTTATCTAAAAGTTCTGCTTTTCGGGCACGGCGTTCAGGTAGCAATTTAAGAAACGGTATTATATAAAGTCTGACATCATTCACAATCCGCGTTTCGTCAGTTTGTCGTAAGAAAGTTTGGATAATTTCTTCTTCTGTTAGAGCTTCAAATTCATTCAATGTCATGATTATTTTATCATTTGATGATGGATAACATTCATAAACAAGTTGTGACAGCATGTGAAGATCTTCTTCCAAGGTTTCCAAATTTTTCACATTTTTTTTGATGCCGTAACGGATGAGGGATAAAGCTTTATCCACTTGTCCCGAAGAATTATCAATATTGTGTGCTCGATCAATATACCATTGCGTTATATAAGAAGCGGAAGCAGGATATGGAACTGATTTCATTAAAATACCATCAAAGTCCCATTCCTCTGGTTCCTCCTGTAGTATTTGTTTCTTTAATATAGGATTTTCAACCCAATCATAAACTCTCCATGGTTCTTGATGCCACAAACATTCTGAGAGTTCAGCGCCATCATTTGATCCAACTCTTGGTAAGAAAGATTCGTATTCATCAGGATCAGCTGTCTCAGGTATTTGTTCAAGAATGGTAAATCGATAAGGCAACATCTCGTTTCCATGACGCGTAAACAGAATACTCAAACCATCGAAAAACTCATCAGCTGCGAAATCCATTGCTTGTGCGGCAATGTGTACATCACGAAATATTGCATAATCCTCAGCAAATGTCACACTATAGTCTATGAATGTGATCCAACCCCCGTTTTCTTCCGATGAGTCCATTGATCCATTTTCTATATCCCGTCTAGTTTTCTCTTCTACAATTCGTTCATAAGTACATAGCCTATCTAAATACTTTAAGAAATAGTACCGGCATCTGCAAAAAGTTTTTTGTTTTTCTGACAATTCAATATTATTCAGAAATTTTTGAACACTTGAATCGATTTCCAAAGGATTTTCTCGTAATTGTTGTTTTATCAAATTATCAGTAGTGGATAAATTATCATTGTTTAAAATTTCATCTAGAATATCTGTATGGCCCAATCCATAGCATAATAAAAGTCGAATTATATGAGGATTTTTGGTTATTCTATTGAAACAAGCAGCTAACACCCATTCTTTGTCATGAATTTTATCGAGATAATCGTGAATAGCTGTTTCAGAGACCTCCGCATCTTTCCAACGAGCTTGATATATTATATCTGTGTCAAGGTTATATGTTTTAGCGATAACCAACGCATCATCATATTCAAGAGCGTTAATTTTACGACAGAGTAAATCCTGAGGTAGGATTTTGCATATGCGATTAAGGCGAAATGTCCTCTTTGATATTGTGATAAATCTACCACGTATAGTTGAAAAATCATTTTCAAAATGCCATAAAAATGTATCCGCTACATAATGCAAGGAATTTGCAATTGCAGATATCAATCTACCCATTTGTGATGTGGAATCTTCAAATTCATCTTCCTCCGTTTCATCCTCTTCTTGTGCTCTAGAATATGATATTATATTACCACCATGAACACGAGCTCTGATTGATTTGACCTCATGTTCAATAACCAAAAAACAATTATTACATTGGCAGGTGATTTCATAGCAAGATTTGAAAGTTTCAGGAGAGTCGCCTAATATATTACGCATATCTGGGAGACTAGCAATAATAACCGAACCATTTTGAAATCCCAAGATAAAAGCATTATTTGTCCACCATCCTATCGACAAAACTTTCCCATTTTCCAATCCAGGAATTCCAGATACATCACCGCTATCATTCTCAATTTCAAAAATTTTATCCTGAAATTTCTCAAAAGATAGATTTTTGTATTCCTTTCCTCTAGCAAAGTAATTTAGATGAGATTGATCCAATGACTGATCAATTACAACCCCTTTATATGTAGATATTTTCCAAAGGCTAACTGTTCCAGAAAAATCTAATGTCAATAGATATTGATTATCAGGCGACGGAATCATACTATAAACGATTTCGTCTGTGAAACTTTTATTCACTTTACGCCAAGTTGCGAAGACATTTTTTAATCTAGAAAAGAATCCAGTATCATCAACGGTTCCCTGGCTTAAATCTGATATATCATCTATGGATTCGTCTATAATTCCTTCTAATTCAAGTTTGCGATAAAAAGGACGATCCGGTAATAGCATCCAACATACAACAGAAGGTAAAGTTAATTCTTCTTCATTTTCATTATTAGGCTTTCCACCTAGACAAAGCAATAATCCATTCAGAGTAACTACAGCGCCGCAAACAACTGTAGAAAGCCATTGTTTAAAAGAAAATTTGTGATAAAAAGTAAAGTACCCTGGATCAGATGTTCCTTCACGTGAATAAGTAATATTAACTTTCGCTCGTCGCGATATAGTTTCATTACCATCCAAAGTAGAAACAGATTCAATAGTATTAAGCAAATAACTACGAAGAACTCCATCATAAGTGATAACAATCAATTCGTATTGGTAAATATGGCCTTCATAATATAATGGTTTGCTTGACCCACGTTTGGGATCCACAAAGGATATAAAAGCCACTGGTTCAAGAAAAAAACTTTGACCGGCTTGGGTATCATTTTCTACATCTGAATTAATGTTAGAGCTAGAAATAATCATACAGACCATTTGTCCATCCTCATTAATGATTTCAATTGTCCCATCGCTTCTTGTAGCAGCTATAATTTTAGAATCTAAGCTCCAAACGAGACGTCTCCACTTGGAAAAAGCATCTCGCTTTGAATTGTAAATGGCATGATTTTTTTCAAACCCACTTTCACTAGTTCGAATTTCGATCTTGTGTTCTTGCAAGACTGCAAGATATTTTCCGTCTGGGGACAATTGCATTAGCCATTCGCTTGTTACTTTAGGACGCTCTTGTAAAAGTGCAGGTGGAACAGTTGTAGAAATTATGAGCCCTTCTAAGCTACGTTTCAGACGGTGTGTTACTTGTTTGAAGACACGTCTTGGAAACTGTGCGTAAGATGGATCTTCATTAGCATATGTGTTGACTCGGGAATCAGGATCATGATCGGTTAATTCATCATCGGGTTTCCAGATTGCAGCTACGTCAATATCATAAAGTATACGTTCTGAATGATTTTCTGATATCAAAAGATCTGTCATTCTTTTCTCACTTTTGATCTCATTATAAGTTATCACGAAGATGGGTTTATTGAATTTCTAGCGCTAGATGTTTAACGTTAATAATTTAGAGATCTACGCAGATCACGGGAATAATTTACTAAACGCATGATCAGAAAGTTTTTTTTTTTTGGAATTGGACCAATTAGAACTTAGTCCAAATTCCATTAGTCCATTATTCAATTGACTTAGCTACGAAAGTCAAGTTTCGGCTCTTTGCATCTTTGAATACAAGACTAAGTTTCAAGTTCCCATAATTTAGGTTCTTAAAAGATCTCAACATTACTCGATTCTTTTATTAATGTGGATGAAAAAATATTATGTATAATCTACAGATTTAAATTTAAAAGGGATTAATGTTAGTCAAAATTATTTTAGTCGATATCAAAATTTGTCTAATGTCTAGATATCTAAATTGTTTTATTTATTTTTTAATAGTAATTTTTAGGCTATTTTTGTGGTAATAACAATAAATAAATTTGATATTTGGTAATTTTTTAAGATAAAAGAAAAATTAAGTGTTTGAAAATAATTGTAAATAAGATTATAACTATGACGATAATATGAGCGACCATCAAAAACGCAACACATCATTTTCCTTCCCGTTATCGTTGCCATTTGAATTGCCATCTATCTTTATCTTCATCAACTGTCATTTGGAGATTTTTTTCTAATTTTTGACACATTACTTTATTACAGTATTTTCATGATGAATTGACAATATCACATGATTTTTTGGGTGGTGATTTTACTAGCGATGTTACTCAAGTTATGTGATGAATAGCATCACATGATTTCAGTAATAACAATAAGGAGGTAAATACCTTACGCGATATTATTCATCACACATAATTTGGGACGCTCCAAATAGTTTGGGCTTTGGGTTAATTGGTGTCGATCTTTTTTGTTTTGATGAAATTTATTGGTGCTGAACGATGTAATTACGTCAAATCAATACTCAAAACAATAAAAAAAGCTTTTACATTTTTTACATTTATATTATGTAAAAATAAATTTTTTATAATAATATATTACTGTAGATAGATTTTAAATTTTTTTTTTTTTGGTATTAAGGTGAGGCATTGCTTATATCTTTATTAATAATTTAAAATAGTTACAGGTATATATGCTATGATTGAAGTCAACACTTGCAATTAGGTTAACCATTAAACTACTAATTATACAGTTACTACTATTTGTATAAAACAAATAAATTGAAAATTATACACAAAAATAAAAGCTTGGATTAATTTATCTGTAATCTAAACCTACTAGAATGGTCAAAGTTCATTTAGATTTGAATATTTAGTATATAATTTAATGATATGCTATATTTGATCTATAAAATAAACCAAATGTTAATTTTGTAAATTACTTGGTTGAAGAAAGACATGTGTTAGAATAAGTATGTAATTGATTTGGAAGTTTGCAGAAACATAAGTAAGTATAGTTTTTACAAAAACATGTATACTTAGTTGCTAAGTTGGATGATATTAAGGATTTATTAATTGATTGAGATTGAGGTCTATTTTGTTATTTTTTTTAGATAAAGAAATGAATGCAATATATTTTTTATAATTGTTCATATGATTGTTTATTAATATTAAAAAGAATATCAATAATAATTTGAAAAACAGTTTTATATGATATGTTAGAGTTTTAAACTGTTAATATAAATGATTTTGAAATCAATCCTTTGAGAATAAGATTAGAATAAAATGTGTTAGATAAGATGTATAGAGGATTGAGAACTAGATAATGAAAAATTTTATAAGTCAGATCATTTTTTTGGTAAATATCAAGATTAGTTAATTTATTAAAGACAATTTGATTAGTAAAGCTTTGAATAATTTGATTGAGTCTAAAATTAGTAATATTGTATGAAAGTTTTTAATTGTGATTAAAATAAAGCCAAGTGGATTTTCAGTCAATATTCTGATTGAAATATGATCACTTATTATTATGTTTTTGTAATGTCTATCTATATAATATTGCTCTTATTGAAGAATATAATAAAGGTTATAAAGATTTGTATCATTAAATGAAAAGAATGATAATAATAGATGTTGTTTAGTAAGAGAGTTTGCTTGCTCATTAAGATTATTATCTAAGTAAGCCTGCACTTTGTAAAGAATAATTTGTAGTTTGTATTATAATAAAATTTTTTTTTTATATTATTATATATTTATTTTTAACTCTATATTATATTTTATATTTTTCTTAATATTTTTACATAGTTTATAGATGTTGTCCTAAATATAACTAAAAATAACTATAGTAATATATAGAAAATATATAGTAACATTATAGTAAATATTGCATTATAATTAATAAATATTAATTAATCTATAATTAAATTAATGTTCTATCATTTTAGAGTATTCTAGAGCACTTAGAGCATCTGAGACATGATCTGGAGTCTTTAATTAAAGTCTTGTAATACTAAACAACTATATTTTTAGATATTCTAACAATTATTAGCTAAAATAAAATATTATAAGAAATTTACTAATAAAATAAATATTAATCTATTAAATAGATGATTAAAACTAATAAAATAATCTATAAACTATGTAAAAATAT